CCTCATTTTAGTGGACAATATGCATAAGCTGTCACGAAGTTCAAGGGGGGGGGGGGGGGTAAACCAAGTAAAATATTTGACAGGTAAAAAGGAAAAAAAATAGATTTGATATTCCAACTACGAGTATTCGCCATTATTTTCGGGAGATATTTACTCAGGTAAAAAAAAAATATGGAGGAAGGGGCACAAAGATACTCTTGACCGCCCCCTTTTCAAAAGTGGTGGTGTGGACATTAGCCCCTCTATTACTACGCCTATGATCTAACTGCTGATGTCTCACCATCCCCAGTCTTCAAAACATTTCTGAATCTCAGAAGTAACATATGTATAACACTGTATTCTATATATTATATGTTGCATAAACGATATGTTGCACTTATATTGTCTCTGATATTTAATTTTAGCGGTATAGAAATTGATATATGAAAGTGTATACCGGTAAGTCGTCCAAAACATATCGAAATAGTGTCATTCATCAGAAATAGTTGTCATAAATAAATTGCCAAAGTTTGAAGCAAGTATGTTTGGCAATATTATTTTAAGAAAAATATCGCGTCCTAATGCAACAATTTGAGGAGGAGTTCACGAAAATGTGTAAATGTGTTCGCCTTAGAGTTGCCATGATTAATGACAGCGAGATAGTTCAAGATTTAATCATAAGTAAACCCCAGAGCAAATTAAATTTTCAACCATTTATCAATTGTTCAAGTTAAATTTGACTGATAATTACTTGCTAAAAATTCAAAATGGCATTTAAAACTGCAGCCATTTTTATTCCTATATTGCTATTAAGTCTCGAAATAACAAGAAAACTGTCTCGTTATAACGACATAACTAACTCGTTATAACGAGATAATTATCTCGTTATAACGAGATAACTAACTCGTTAAAACGAGATACTAACTCGTTATAACGAGATACTAACTCGTTATAACGAGATAATTATCTCGTTATAACGAGATATCTAACTCGTTATAACGAGATAACTAACTCGTTATAACGAGATACTAACTCGTTATAAGATAATTATCTCGTTATAACGAGATAACTAACTCGTTATAACGAGATACTAACTCGTTATAACGCGATAATTATCTCGTTATAACGAGATAACTAACTCGTTATTACGAGATAACTAACTCGTTATAACGAGATACTAACTCGTTATAACGAGATAACTAACTCGTTATAACGAGATACTAACTCGTTATAACGAGATAACTATCTCGTTATAACGAGTTAATTATTTTTTTATCTTGTCAAAAATGAGCCTATCCGGCTTTCGTAATTTACCGACTCCGCATTTAAATATCAGATACAGTTTTAAGTCAATTTAACTATAGAAACGTGTTGTTATTCAAGTTCAAAATCGGTGAAAATTTTAATTTGAACGTAAAAAAAAAACCAAATATCCTGTTCATCTACATTCAATTTCGTATTTTTATTTTTTAGCTCAGATACTCCATATATAGGTTTAAAGAAATTTTTCAAAAAATTTACTTCAATGTTTGTATAATATTTTTTAGAGTTTTTTTTTACTAGTATGTTTATTTCACCGTACATCGCGATCGGACACAAATTATCCATGCATCGGACACTTTCCGATGCATGGGTAATCACTTCCATTTTCATATAAAACCCAGATGACAGCTGTTTTTTACGGAAATAGAAAATAAAAACTCTAAATTTTCAGTGAAAATATACAAGTTATCGATATATGACAACTAAAAGTGGACTCAATTTATTTCTAAAACTAGATGATGATAACCCACGAGACAAAGCCGCGAGTTGCCATATTAATAGCATTGTAAAGCTTTCAAAGGCAATGTGATGCAACTAAAATCTCTTTACATTTGTGGATCGAAATAGTCATTCAAATTTAACTAGAAGGTTATTTTTTAAATAAAAGATTAAAATGTTGCGATATCACTAATTTTAAAGCACCGAGATCAAGGTATGATATTTTTCTGGTTTAAATACCGTATGTCCGATGCATAGTGAATATTGTTCGATCCATGGTGAATTCTGACTTATTTCGAAAAAATCGGTTTTTAGAGATATTTTCTCAATATATAGCACACGATTGTGTCGAAACTTCGTATTTTAACCACATACTACACGTTAAGTTCCATTTTGATAATATTCGGTCGGTAGCGGTATCGCTAGAACTTGTTGAAGTGCGAGGGTGTCCGATGCATGGTGAATTCACCCGTTATTATTTTCGGGATATCTTGTTAAAGTAAAAACCTTTAATACGTATAATGTGTTAACGTTATAATCTAATTAACACGTTAAGAGCTGTACATTTCATAGAATTATTTCTTGAACAGATCGATAGTGTTTTTTCAGTCAACTGTTTCTAATAGAGCAAAACAAGATCGAATAAACAATAAACTATGCATAATTGAGAACTAAATGTAAATAATCTTTTAAATTTCTAGATCTATACATGATATACATCAAAATATTGAGAAAACAGATAAGTTAATCGTTCTAAGAAAGATAACACTAACAGAAAATACACTAGACAGAATTGCTTACACACAATCATATAGCAAATTAATTTTTTATGTATGGAATCATCTTCGCTATAGCCAAAGGTTTCTGATACGCTACTCTCCTCATAAACCCTTGGCATACGGTGCTGACAAAAGACGGGATTGTTTTCGTCACGTGATTGCGATTCTTACCAGGTACGCACAGATTGCGTCATCGACAGAAATAAAAAGCGTATTTAAAAAAATAATGTTTTTAAAGAATAATTAACAAGAAGATATTGATTTATGTTTAAAACATGTTAAAATGCAAATCTACATCTTCAGTATTGATTCTTAATCACATATTTTGCACGTAGCTTAATATTGGATGACACTATTAGTTATTCATAGAATGGCATGTTATCTTACGGATGGTTGTTTACTTGCGTTTTTCATTCCCGATATTAAAGAGTCAAGATCTATCCCGAACGCAAATATCGTCATTTACAAAAAACAATTGCTGATTGGTCGAACGATGTCGATCAACTCCAATCACAACTTGAGAAAAAAATCCCCACTTTTTTTAACACCTTATGCCAAGGGCTTATGAGGAGAGTAGCGTATCAGAAACCCTTGGCTAGCGAAGATGGTATGAAATATGAATATAACGAACAGTTATCAACCTTAAAAGTTTCCACAGCCGATTTACATCACTTCTGTATGCGAAACTACATTGCATTTAGTAGAACTGCAGGAAAATCGTGTTCATACGTCTTAGAGGAATAAATTTCCATTTTCATCTTTGAAATTTGAGAGTGATGTGTTGAAATAACGACTTCAGCATTTCAAGCAAACGGTAAACGAATGAATGTAGACTTTTGTAATGCTCTGATCAGCAAGAAGTCTACAGCAACGTCATAGAATGCCATAATTAGAATATTCAAGACTAACATTATTCATATTCCCTGACATCTTTACCCAAAACATGGTCGCCTTGATGGATTTTCTCTTCTTAAGGGCTGCTCTTTATGAGCACCCCAACGGATCTGTCTTGAAAGAAAATTATACATGGAATAAGTCGGTATGAACGTCACAAACTTAATCTTCACCTGTAAAGTATACTCCTACAAGTAAGAGCCTCGATTAACGTCCCTACGCTCCTTATATACCTCGGACTCTTACATCCGAACGCCATTTTCTAACGAGCTCGTTCCGCCTGAGATTTTGGGCGGAACATATAATGCGTGAAATAAACTGTAAACAAGTAATTCTCTGGTACCTACGTGTTGCATTGGGTATAAAAGTCACAAGAAATCCTAAAATCCACTTTATTCAGTATGTATCAATGTTCATTAATCAAAATCGTCATTATTTCAATTTGTCACCAGAATTACTTTCGATTTGACTTCATGCTAATTTTGCGGATTGCTAGTCAGAAAACGAAAATTTCAATGATTTCTTAGCGGATAACTAGTTTCGTTTCGTCAGATATTCTGCATTCCATTCCCGAACTTCAAACAGACGACTTGTTTTCATTTCTGCTTCGATTTTAAAAATAATGGATTTATCGCTAATATGAGAGATTAGCATTGTTTTATGTGTAAGTTTTATCGCAGATAGTGAATATTTTATTGTTTCGTGTCATTCGTTAATGTTTAATGCCTGAATTTTTAATTAAACAATTTATTTCCACTTGGGATTTCAGCGGCGAGAATTTTTACAATGGATGCTAGAGGTTACGCGGCGCCAAGTCAAAAGTATCTCGCCGTGAACCTCTAGCATGCTGGAGTACTGTAAAGTAATATATGAAAATGATAGCAGAGTTTGGGTCCCACACAATGACATCTTTGGCGCCCATGGCAACCTCATCCCAAATAGTACTTGAATGGACTTGAAATTACTTGTTTGGGCAATGCAAATGTTTTAGGTAATAATCTTGTACTGCTCTATGCAGTTCTAACTGCTCTCAAGATTTAATCTATGCGCAATACATACAAAAACTAGTACCCTATATATCTGTGAAATAAAACTTTGATCGTATGTTGGACCAAATTTTGATTGAATTTTTCAAAGATTAAAAAAAAATCTTGTTTGAGAACAATTAAAAATGCTTAATATGTAATTTAAGAAACAATGTCATTCTGAAAATCATGGCGGCCAATTAGAAAATTGGCTGAAATTTGAATGGAAACCAGCGATATTTCCTACTCAGGCACAAGATAAGGAACATTCATGCCAAATTTGGTATTTGTTTCATTAAGGTATACATTTTTTCAACAATTCGCTCCTCTATAAGATGGAAAAGAAATATGCTGTGTTTTATAAATATGTTTTTCTATACATTGTTTTAAATTTCTGTTTTTTTTTTTTGATACAGAAGATACTACATGTACGATTCATTACTAATTACTCTCTGCTATAATGCATGTAACATGAATTTTCATTTTGTGTTTTTACTTAACAACAATTAACCATTTATATGATTTTTGAAATATGATACATTAAAAAAATGATTGGATCCTGACAAGCATAAGGTACTAATTCGGTAATTATTGCGATAGTATCACTATGTGTATTTCATTTTTTTGGTGCCTTTTGCTTTAGAATGCATACTAAGATAAACTCATTTTTTTTCACTGGATAATGCTTCTCATGGTCGTTGGTTGACAAAGTACAATATATCTTTTCGCGATCCTATAGGTTGAAAAATTTAATTTTATGCACTGACTTGTTTACACATGTATCTAAGTCATGCAGAATACAATCTGAAGTTTACTAATGAAGGAGAAAAGTTTTTATCACAAGAAGAAGGAGAAAAGTTTTTATCACAAAATGTTCCACAATTTTTGCTTTGTTAGTCTTCATTTTCATGTTCCATCTCGTCCACTTCCTCTTCTCTCATTTTGAGTGAACAGCTTGTAAAAGTGCTGCTAAACATATCTTTTCCCATAACTTTTAATTCTGTGTCACCAAAAATATAAGCTACGACGAAAGGTTGCTCTTTTTGATTGCCAATACCCAATATCCCCATCAACAGATTCAAAGGAAGTGGAATGAACAATTTTCCGAGTAAGAAGCACCCCTCTTCATCTGTATATTTTATTTCTTTTTTTGGAGTGCAGAATATTTTTACCTCTGCCCCGCTTTGAAATACAGAGGCCGTTGAATACACAGCAATCACTTTATGTCCTATATCCACTTCTGTTCCGGCGGAAAGTATCATTTTGAAGCAATCAATGGAGATATCTTCGCCGTCAATTGTGATTTTCTTTTCCTCTTTGTGAATATTTGGATTGAATTTTTCACATACCGAAGTTCCGTAGGTAAAGCGCAAAATTCTTGATTTTATTAGTGTTGGATCGTGACCAAAAATCACAGCTCCTTTAAGCACTGCCAAACCCGCCTCAGGAGGTATAATCAATCGAACCGAGTCAAACGCACTGGTAACTTCAGATTGTATGTACTTAGAATCAGCTGATCCCCCGACAAGCAATATAAGTGATATCCCATTTGTTTGTGGACTCTGCATAACATCCTGCATGTGCTGAATAAGCTCTTTAACCGATTGCTCAAAAAACTTTTTCATTGTCGCGACATCTATGTGCAGTTTGTCCAACTTCAATTGCATTCCTTCTGCATTTTCAAACATCGTTTTCAAAGTCTTTCCCTCTATTTCCTCTGACAATTCATTCAGTGCAACATATGAAATTGTCATTCGAATAGGGCCTGTGCTATTCGGTGTAAATACTCGCTTTGCAACTTCAAACTCCCGAAATATATCAAGATAAGTTTCTGTTCTCGACGTACGAAGTTTTTTCATAATGTTTTCTCCGAGTATCCCGGTGAGACGTATCTCGAATTCTCTGTCAACTGCTGTCCCGCCACACGCCCCTCCAGTAGCTTGGTGAAGTTCTCGCAGTTTACCATCTTTGATTTTTTCATGAACTGTAATGTCAGCAGTACCCCCTGTAAATGTTGTTAAAAATCGATAGTTTTAATTTCTGTTCCTTATTGTATATATATCAAGGATGTGGTCAGCATGGTATCGATAGCTTTGACCATGCTTAAGACAATTAACTCATAGAAAGGAGAAGAGATTCTAAATTCAAAACCGCAAGTCTTTTTGCATTATACATATTCATTAATTCAATCCAAAGTATGCTAATTACAAAGTCAACAAACAGTGAAGCAGGCCTTAATATAAATTTATACTATTATACTGCCTTACACAGTATACATTATACAATTGAGCTAACTGCTGCTGCACATTAAACAAAGGGCCTACATGTATAGGCCACAATGCTCATCTAAATAACTTTGGTCCTGCTGTTCTTCAGAAGACAACTTTTCCCATGTTTATCCCTATAGCAAAATGTTGACTCCATATCATTGCTCTATTTTAGCACAAAGGATGAACTTGAATCCACACAACAAGGGATGATTCATCGTCAAAAATGACTAACATGGACTAGCTGTTCTGAAAAGGAAGATTTTCTCTCCAAAATTGCCTGTATACATACATTATGCAATCTTTGACCCCTGATATCAGCCCATCCCAGGGTTTATAATTTGAAGGAAGAATTAAATCCACACGACACACGAATAATGATTTATATTTATGATTATTGTAACCCTGTTACTCTGCAAAGGTTTTTTTCTTTAAATCTCTGTATTTCCAAGTAAACAATGAACCCCTATTATGACCTACTCCATGGGCACCATTATTTGAACAAACCTGATTATGTAACACCCGGGGATGCTTACTTTTTGATATGACTAATCATGCTACTCTTGAAAAAATATTTTTAGAAAGATTTCATACTTTAAATTCCCAAATCAAACTGCATATTGTCGTCCTTGACAACAAGGGGGCTAGACGTTAGAACAAATTTGAATATGTTTTTTTTTCTTTCAGAGGCTCTATTTTATATGACAACAAAGAGTCCTGTTCTTGAAAAGAAGTTTTTTTTAAAATTAATCGAATATATAAAAATTTGATTCGGTGAAACAAATACCTAATTTGGCATGAAGGAGCCATGATTTGCAGTATTCTGAATCTACATTATTTTTGGTTACTTGTATATTTATATGACAAATCATTATCCGTTTAATTTTGTTTTGAGAAGACCTTTAAATAAACTTTTATTTCCCATTATGGATCATCACCCCCCCCCCCCCCCCCGAATTCTGATTTGAAAAAAAAAAAACCTTGTAAAAACCCTAAGTCTACACTACATTCTGGTTTTCACTTAAAGGAGATGGGTGAACATGACGAGCGATAAGCCTATAGTGTGACAAACATGAAGATGAAAAATTAAATTTCAATTATATCAAAATTTTCCTTGATATTTCGTCTAACATTAAATTATACTTTATGTAAAATCTCTATAATTTGCAAAAATCCCTCAAAGATTGAAATTATTTGCCTGTGAAATATTAAACACACACTAAAGCGGCAAAAAGAGTCATTTTCTCATACTATAATACTATTTTTTTTCGATATGAGTGGGTCTTCGCTCCACCTTTTTGAAAGTTAATCCTCAAAGTTTGCATAAAAATATACATTTTTTGGTTACCAAAAATATGGAGCAATGACCCACTATACCTTAAAAATATACTTTTATGACATAACATTCGCATCTTTTCAAGAAATACTTGAAGTCCATTAAGTCAAGGGTCATATCACAAACATGATTTAAATGCTACTATTCATCAGGACTTGTGTAGTCTAGTGGTTAGCGTGCTAGTCTCGAAAGAAAATAATACTCAGGATTTTTATTGCTAGGGTTCGAACCCACGAATACCACATTAATTTTTTTAATAAAAGCAAAATTTTGCCGAGAAAATTTTCCTCAGAAAAGTTTTGTTTATCATAATTTCATAAATTTCAATAATGAGAACTTTACTCTAAATACTGAATTCACAAACTGAACATGATTTTTATATATCTGAAGCTATGTTCGCCCATCTCCTTTTTACCTGTCTTAGCGGTTCTCGAGGTTTTTTAAGGCACTCACATTTAAAAAAAAAATCCCTACTTTTGTGTGACACTTTATTTGATCAAACATGATTCACCCTTAGTCAATGATGCTTTGTAATAAGGTTGATTAAACTTGATCCGATTGATTCTGGAGAAGTCGAAATTGTGAAAAGTTAGCAGACGGACAGACAGACCACGACATATGTGATCAGAAAAGCTCAGTTTAACTTCGGTTCAGATGAGAGAAAAATGATACAAATTATGAAAAATGTGATGACCACTCTTTTGGTATATAAATGTCATTCCAGCACTAAAGATGTATATTTGTTCGGAGTAATCAAAGTAACTCCTACTTTCTGAAATGTGGGCATCATTATTCAATGTATTTTTCGTAATTTAACTTACCGCCAATGTCAACAATCATATACTTTGTGCCTTCCTTTGTCATTCCAAAACCGTCAGGGTTTCTTTCGATTGGAAGAAATTGGCAATATATAGATGCTGCTTCTGGTTCAAGGGCAATTTTTAACATTTTGTCTGGAATTCCAGCCTATTCAAGATTTTTTAGTACAATGAGAAAAAAATATAGGAAAGAAACAAGTGATACCTGAACGTTTTTTTTTACATTCACTTACTTTTATAGCACACTGACGCATGTATTCTTTGGCAGCATCATTCCATATAGCAGGGACAGTCAAAACCCACCTTAAATCGGTTGCTGTAAATTCTATATTCAGACTCCTTCTTATGTTTTCCTTAAAATGGTCTACCAATGCCTTTATTGAGAGAGTAAATACATGTTTTGCAGGGTATCCTTTCCCCGCAACATCCTCAAGATACAGGTTGTCACTAATTCCCTGAAAAGAAAACATTAGACATATATTTCAGGTACCAGAGTTAAAATCCTCTCTTTTATTTCGACTGATCATTACAAATAATTAATAATTAAAGTTCAGATAATGTTTATAACTGTAGATAATCTTCGAAGTACTAAGAAATCTTTAACATAATTGTGTAATTTTTATACGTGTTCTTTTTTTCTGTTCATTAGAATGATATTCTGAAGGGTTTTTAAATAGTCTAAAGCCATTTATTTGTATGTTAAAACATTACATAGAATTAGCAGAAATACATTATTGATAAATTGTAATTTGAATTAAATTAATCAAAGCAACAGCATTTGAAAATTATCACATAACTTAATATTTGACGCAATAGATTGCAAAATTTTCAACTAAACTGAGAAAGACTTCTGAAATGATGAAAACTTTGGCATCTAAAGAAACTTGTTCTTTATCCAGCGTATAACACCTACCTTTTTGTTGTGTAATTTCATTTTGAATCTCCTGAACAGCATAAAGTTTCCACGTTGGTCTTTTGCCACCTCTGAGTAAAATGTATCTTCTGCTTCATAACCAAAAGCAACAAAATTGCCATCTTTGTCAATAAGAAGAGATGTTGGAGTTTTGAGCGATATTAGAGCCGTGCCACCTGCTGTCCAATTCTGATGACTATGAATATCTAAAGGATTTTTGCGAAATTGATCTCTTGAACTGAATGCATAACCAGAATATGTTGTTCCAAAATCCAAAGCGACAACAAAGAGATAGTTTTGGTCATTTAGTGTAGACTCTATTGATTGTTCTTCTTCACTGTTGTTATTTGACATGTTGGGATCATGAGTGTTGGGAGACAAATTTTCTGCCATACTACACCTGTCAAGTACCACTCCTATCAACAAAGTAAAGGAAAATATGAATTGAATGACCTTATGCAATGCTTCTTGTATTACATTTCCTGATTTATTAGGTTACTTGTTGACTTCGACGTCAAAAAAATAAATTTAAAAAAACCACAAGTGCTTTAAACAAACATAATTTTTCCTTTTTCACATATCAATCCGATTGACTGGGTATGGGGCGGAATAGAGATATTATGGACTACATTTCGGGACTAAAAAAGATAGCGTTGATTTAAACGGATTACAATCGCCCGACGCAGTGGTTAGAGCGTTTGCGCAGAGTTAGGAGCTGATCCTTAGCGTCCTTAAGTGGGTGGTAGCGTCTCAATATGAGTGAAATTTTCTCGAAAAAGACGTTAAGCAAACAAAGAAACATACAAATGGATTACAAGGAGTTTATGCTTAGTGACACATGAAGTATTCACTTTTGAAGCAAAAATAACTAAATGAAAAGAAAATGATAAATTGCAGAAATTATTAAGTATGTCACAAGGTGTTCTAAAGATGAGTGAAGCCAGGAAAAGTATCTATACTATGGCTATAGAAGTCACCCCTCCGTGTAACCTTGAAAGTAAATTTAGATATAGTCTTTTCAAAGCCTTAAAATTAGAAATGTGTGTTTAGTTGATTATCCTATGAGGGATCTTCATTTTAAAATGGATCAATTTATCCTTTGTTCTACTTTCGGCTTGGCCAAGATCAGGTGCCCATTTCCACCCGAATGATGTTATATACTACATAATATGTTACATATATTACATCTAATCTAAATGTCTTTTGTTGCATTGTAAAGAGCAGAATGAGAGCTTTCCATTGGTATATAATACACTATATATATATATAGTGTTCCCAGAAATTATAAGAATTTTACAATACAATAATATGCTTATTCGAACAAATGCAATGTTTTTAAATACAAATACCACTGTAATTACTAATTAAATATAAAATGTCTGAAATTTTTCAACTAAAGACTTGCTTCTGTAGTCTGTCCTGTTATGTTTGAAGTCAACATATTTCTAAATATACATGATCATGATAAAGTTTTCCTTCTTGTGATTCATGCCATCAATCCATTAAGAATAATTAGCATTAGAATATTTTAAAAAGAATATTTGGCTACACAAATCCTACTTTCACATGGCAACAGACTCTACACATAAATTTAGCAAATTTACACAGCATATAACTGTTCTTCTTCTGTTTTAGGGAGAGATTTTCTTCCTGCCTGCATTTATTGCAAAATGGGGTCTCAATGGTTCATAAGTTCTCATCAATCAATCTTAACATCCCATACATGTAGTGGGATTTGATCACCAAAACACAAGGGTCAACCTTACTTTGCGATTTAGTACAAAGTAAGACCTTCACTCTTAAAATTGCGCCACCCAATCTTCTTGTCATTGAATGGTTAATTTAAAAAAAAAAAACAACAAAAAAATATTGACTTCTTATGGATAAATATCATACTACTATGTTTTTACTTCAAATGGTGATGATTCTTTACAATCATGTTTTGTATTTTTTTTTTTTATGAATTACATGCACTCCATCATGATCAGGATGATAAATCATATAATTCTTTTGAATGACCATCTTAGGCTACATGTATTACATTGAAATCAAATCGAGGAAAAATAAAATATGATGCAATAAGTCCGTAACCCCCCAAAAAATCATGCCTTGATTTACAGGTCCTACTTTGTTTTTATTCATAACAGTGTGAACACCAATAATGTTGTAATTATTATTCAACTGAAAGTACACAGTGCTTTAACCAACTGATTTTTAAGTATGGTATCATAAAATAGTCAAACTATTTGGTGTGAACTGTTATAAAAACCCAAATAACTTTAAAACAAAATGCCCAAAATTTAATTATACAATTATGTTTTTTTTTAAAGTTGATTATCCAAAAGATTTTTAAAAGAGATTGTCCAAAAGAGATTTTTAACGGTATTGTCTGTAGCCCCAGTACTTACATGAAATTTATCCTTCTTAGATTCTAAATTAAAGCTCATTCTTGATCTTCAGATGGTCTTATAATATATTTTGATATCAAAAAACCAATTACATGTAATTTTGACGTATATTATTTTGTTCTGACAATTTATATTTTACTCGTATTGTGAATTTATTTGAAGTTTTTGTTTTATTTTGTTAAATTTCACTAGAATTTTGTATAAATTGATTTAATATCCAAATGAAAGGATTTATTAGATATAAGTGAACTCCAAGATGAAAATTCTAACAAATATTTACTGAAACAAGAAACTATTTTTCCACGGTCTCTCATTAAATGAAAAATGCTATATGTATAGTCCGTAGCCCAAGGTTTCAAAATATTCAATCAAAAAATATCTGACAGTTTTTCTCTAAATATTACCAAATAACTTTGAAATTTTCACCCCAAAATACAGTATCTTTAGAAAAATTAAAAGTACTTCAATGTGTTTTTACTTCAAATGTGTAAATATTAAGAGTAGAAAAACTCTCAAAGATTAACGAATTTCCCCTTGTCCTTTATATACTGTATCATTTTAATGAAAATATTAAGTTAATTGATTTTTGGCTCGGACAATATTTTTTTAAGAGTCTGTATTTGAATTATACTTTTTGTTCAGTTGAATTTGAAAAACATATATTTTATGCCTGAATATGTATAGTCTCTTAGCTTCTATAGTAAGAGTGGAGACTTTTTAACCACTTGACAGAAATGGACAGAAATTTCAGATAATCTGCCAAAAGGATGTAGTGTTACATAGAACATACTTGTAATACATTTCATTTGACTTAATTTTTGTTAATCTGCAACCAACATGGGCACCTGATCTTGGCCAAGCCGAATTTTGTTCTGACCCTGTTAATTGTTAATTTTCCAATAGTTTCTAAATAAAAAAATTGTCTTAAATGTTATTACACTGAAGCCACCTAAGTCAATATTTTTTTCTCAAACATCACATCCATATGCATTATAGGCAGTTACCAGTTCATCTTTAGAAATATGAAGTCAATTAAGGGCCGAAAATTAAATAAAAACCCGAAAAACTATACAAAAACCTTTCCCAAAGTTACTATATAAACAGATTAAAATATAAAATTCAAACATATGAGATTCATGGGCTTTAAGCTTACTTCTTCATTTAAATATCAATTGGGTATAATCGGTATGTAAATGTATCTAAATTTCAGATAAACTTTTGCGAATTCACTATTTTTCCAAGTGCGAAAGAGGGTACAATCAGAGACGAATATTTATGTTCAGCAATTATTGTCTTATGACAGTATCCAGTTCTTTGAAATTTTTGAACCACTTTCAAGGAAATTTATTTCAAATGAATTCCTAGAGTTTAAAATAAAAATATGATATCAACCAACTTTCGTTTTGCAAGCATTTTTTTTCCTTTAAGAAAATACATGAGTTAACAAGAATTTCAATGTTTCACTAAGTCCCGTTACTAGTATGTGTTTGTTCAGGATATTTATCTAGGTATGCTGTTGCCTAGCATTTAAGACTCTGAGGTGAATTATTGATTTTTTTCTAGTTTGAATGTTTAAGAAGGAAGATATTTACTTATCTATGTTTGCTGTTGCCTTTATTTAAGACCCTGAGGTGAATTATTGATTTTTTTTTCCTTTTCTAGTTTGAGTTTGAATGTTTAAGAAGGAAGAAATATATATATATATATATATATATATATATATATATATATATATATATATATATATATATATATATATATATATATATACGAATTTTCCTGATCCAATTTATTTTCAATTAGTTTTTTTTCCATTTACACAAACTATTTATTTCAGGCACATTAAATTTATACCTTATAGTCTGAGTGTTTTGTTATATCATATATAATGTGAATATATAATGTAGAAATATTTTCGACAAACATAAAATTCTAATGTTTATTAAAAAAAAATAAAAAGAATTTTTTTTTTAACAAATTTGAAACTAATTAAATGCTTAACAATGGGGGCACAGGATATTTTAAAATTAAGTACAATGTACTGGGAAATATATATGAAAAAGGAATACTAAAGATATGAATGCATATTTCTGATGCTAAGATTGCTAAAGTTATTTATGTGCGCTCATTTAGGGTATCAGTAATATTTCATACATGTATGGAAATACGCAAGTATGAATTTCACTTTCGAGATTTTCTTTAAAAAAGTGGGATATCTTCATGAGATAAAATGTATCACGAATAAGCAGCTAAACGGTCAAATACCTTTTGCTGTTCAGTTATATATTCATTCATCTGCGTTTTAATGCTAGTGAAGGGCATTTGAGGGGCAAAGAAGCTGGTGCTGATATTGTGAAATAGTGAAAATAAAACACAATTTCATGATTAGAATGTCTCTGTGTCATCACCGGGTTGTACATTTTTTGAAATCATGTCATATGTAACCCCGGTACTCTTATTCCGTTTAATATCATTTTAAAGTAGAGATCCAGAAGATGTGAAAAACCGTTTTCTGAGAGACTGTAGGCAATATTGATACATTTCCTTTGTCTGAAATGGAGAGAAGTCCCATTTTTATACCAGACTTTCCTCATTTTTCATTGAAAATGGGCAGTTTATAATGTTTTTCCGATGAATTTACCCGGAAAATATGTCCGGATACACCTTATTTTACCAAGCTATATTCGTAAAGGATCATTAAAAGACTGTGTATCTCAAATTTGAGAAATCTGTGGGCACCTATCATTCACTAGATCTTGACCTTAAATATACTGACGTCGTTTAGTCAATAACAATATTCATTTTCATTCCTACGTTGATTCGATATATTCCATTGAACTCAAAACGAGACACCCTAGAGTCTGACACATTTGCTTCATATTTGGATATATTACTACAGAAAAACATTGATGGCAAATAAGAAATTAATTTTAAAAGTAAAACGTGATTACTTCAATTTTTCTATCTTCATTTTCTCTATTATTATATATAGCAATACAGAATT